CTCTCTCTCTCTCTCTCTCTCTCTCTCTCTCTCTCTCTCTCTCTCTCTGTGGTAGCCCCAATCCCCCTCCTTCCCTCTCTCTCTCTGTGGTAGCCCCCCTCCCCCTCCCCCCCTCTCTCTCTCTCTCTCTCTTTCTCTCGTGCACGCTCTTAGCCCATTGCTTTGGCTATCTTAGGGCTGCCTTCCCCGCGCCCATGCCGTAGACAATACAGGAAATGTGCAGAGATGGAAATGGAGGACATTTTCTGGCAAGGGTCCAATGACCAGAAAGGCTGGGACGTATGGACAATTTGCACAGGGCCGGGTAGGGATATATGCACAAGATGGCGGGTCCCATTGGCGAGTGGGGTATTTTGCAAAGTATGATGACTGTCATAGGAGCATTTCTACATACCCATGCCTTTTAGGGGTATCTGAAGAAATACCCCAACTTTCAAGGGCATCACGAAACATGCGGAAACGGATACTGGGCACACCCCCTTCGTCTTGCGGCTACAAAAGGTGGAAAAGCATTCTGAGCACACCTCCTTTGGTCTGGGGAGCGCGACGGAGGAATACCAGGTAAGGTATACGCACACCAGGACCTTTCTCCACTCCGTACATGTGCGCGCAATACCCGTTGTCCGTGGATGCATTTGATACATCTGCGCGTGATTCCCGTTGCTTGTACGTCCGCATAGCAGTCAAAAATTCCGAATGCGAGTGTGCCCTGAGACGCTCAAGGGTCACTGCCACCGGAAGGAGCAAGCTCGCGTCGAGCACGGGAGGTATACGGGCTACGTACAGTCAATGGATGGAACAGACCGTCGCATCAACGGCTGCGATGACGTAGCGGCAATCAACCGATCAATCAGGTACTGTAGTGCAGGGCCCGGAGATGTCCGTGAAGCACGTCGCCGCTTTGAGCTCTGCCGCTGCTGTTGCCGCTCGCCTTTCTGTCTTCCTGCCTATCTGTTTGCTTGCGTATCTCCTCGCGGCCGCGCTTCTCTCTCTCTCTCTCTCTCTCTCGCCTCGCATCCCTTCTCCCAACGCACGCCCCGGAACCCACCGGCTTACGAAGCGACGATCCAAAACGAGCAAGATGAGTTAGCTCTCCCTCTCTCTGTTTTTCGAGCGCGCGTGTGTGTGTGTGTGTGTGTGTGTGTGTGTGTGTGTGTGTCTCTGTGTGTGTGTGTGTGTGTGTGTGTGTGTGTGTGTGTG